GTAGCAAGTCTGTAGTGTCTTGGACAAAACTTGCTCTGTGGGTGACAAGCGGTTTTAGGATGGATTCAACAAAACCTAATATTTCCTCAGTTAGGGTCCCATGGTTGGATATGATAGGTCTGCCAGGGTTCCCTTGTTTGTGGATTTTAGGGAGCATGTAAAAAGTCCCCGGGGAGAAGCTAGAGGCTTTCAAGACAGCAGGGCCAGGTAGGATGCAGCCTAGGGTGCTGAAGGAATTGGTTGAAGTAATTTCAAAGTTGTTAGTTATACTGTTTGAGAACTTGTAGAGGTTGGGTGAGGTCCCAGGTGATTGGAAAAGGGCAAAATTTTTGCACGTCCTTAAGAAAGAGAAGTGTCACCAGGAACAGCCAGCATGGATGCACCAGGAGCAAGTCATGCCTGACCAGCCTGATTTTCTTCTACGATAAGGTGACAGGCTCTGTGAATGGGGGAAGAGCAGTGGATGTGTTGCACCTCAACTTCGGCAAGGCTTTTGACACTGTCTCCCACAACATTCCCGTTAAGCTAAGGAAATGCAGACTAGATGAAAGTGCTGGAAAGTGGATATTTAATGGGCCAGATCATTGTTCACGTTGCATCACAACATAGTCATCAGTGGCTCAGTGTCTAGTTGTGAGGAAGTATCAAGCAGAGTTCCATAGGGATCCATCCTGGGTCCAGCATTGTTCAACTTCTTCATTAATGATTTGGATGATGGGATTGAGTGCACACTGCAGATTTGTGGATGACAAAATTGGGTGGAGTTGTGGATGCTGGAGGGCAGGGCTGGGATGCAACACGACCTGGATAAACTGGAAAAAATCTGGATAAACTCTAAAATAGCCAGATAAGATTCAGAGTCCTGCACATGGGGTAGAATAACTGTACGCACAGATAGAGACTGGAGGATGACTGGCTAGGCCGAAGTACTGCAGAGAAGGACCTGGGGGTTACAGTAGACCACAAGCTGAATATGAGGCAACAATATGCTCTTGTTCAAAAAAAATGCTAACAGTCTACTGGGTTGTATATAAAGGAGTGTCACTTGCAATCAAGGGAAGTGATTCTTGCTCTTTATTCAGCAATGGTGAGGCTTCATCTGGAGTTCAGTGCCTAGTTTTGGGCCCCAGACTTCAAGAAGCATGTGGACAGACTAGAAAGAGTTGACTGCAGTGTGACAAAAAAGTATTAGGGGCCTGGGAAACTCCATTTAAAAAGGCTGAAAGAACTTGGCTTGTTTAGTCTGAAGAGGAGAAGACTGAGGGAGGATTTGATAACAGTCTTCAAATACCTGAAGGGTGATTACAGAGAGGATGGGAATAGGCTTTTCCCTGTAACTGTAGGGGACAGGAGTAGGAGCAATGGCCTCAAGCTGCAGCAGAGGTAATTTAGGGTGGAGGTTAGAAAGAACTTTCTGACCATTAGGGCAGTCAAGCACTGGAACTGACTACTTAGAGAAATTGTAAAATCTCCATCCTCAGAAATTTTAAAGAGTAGGTTAGATGGATACTTGGCTTGGGTGGTTTAGTCAGGGACAGTCCAGCCTTAACCAGGGAGCTAGATTTAATGACCTTGTAACATCATTTCCAGCTCTACTTTCCTAGGATTTTGAGCTGGTCATTGTGACACTGTCTCTCGATGTAGATATATCTAACAACTGAACCATTCCAGAAGTGGCTGAAGGACTCCACAATAATACCTCTTGGTATGAAGTATTATTTTGGAGCATTTTGCTTCTGGTGCTGGGCTGGGAGGGAAAGTGAGTGGATGGGGGAGGGTAGGAAAATGAGTGGATGGCCTGCCAGCTGCCCAGCTGCTATATCCCTGCTGGTATCCCTTGCTCCCAGGACCAGAGCAGGGTTTACCTACCCACCTACCCTTGGCTGCACATGGAGAGACCAGACATACAGATCTGAGATGCAGCTAGTCCTGTATTCATAACATTTGTCACAGACTGGGTCAGATTCTGTTACATTTACTCACAAAAAAGAACTATTTTGTAAAGTAAGGATACTACCTTGGCATAAATGAGGATGGCAAAAATTTCTGCATATACCTTATTTATCATACATCTGAAATAATTGATAAATATTTGCACTCAAACAAGGCCATAAAGCATTTCCAGGAATCTTCTCTGTCCAAAGTGGTCTAAGACTGTAGATCCTTCCTATCAGTGGAAGGTTGTCTTTTTGCTAGTTCTCTCTCTCTCAGAAATTCACCATTATTCAGAAAGCTCAAAAACAAAAAGTCTATGCATCACTTTTGAGCTCTAGTTTGAACACTAGGTGGTTCATAGACTTTGTTCAAGCTCTCTAAACTGGGATGAATATTACCCAGTACAAAGATTGGAATCTAGGGCAAGGGGAAATAACTTCTTCAGATTTTAAAAGTTGTGTTTTGGTTTTTTGATATAGTTTACTGCAAATGTTATATGTACTCATTTTGGCCCTATCTCCTTTGTTAATTCATAGCGATTCTGAGCTGTAAAAAGGTTTGCCTTTGAAATATTTTTGTTTTTTTGCAGCCTGGTTAAGGAAAAAGAGAAAGGATCCACCCACCATTGAGGTAAGAGATGAGTTTTATGAGTTATACATCCTATACGAATCCTCATACTATTTGTTATATTGGACCCTTCTGTACAGTCATTTTGAATAAATCATGTCCAGAAGGTATATATAGACTTCTTGGTTTTTAGAACTGTATAGTACAATACTAAGATGTCAAGGTTTAGGAACAGAAATCAAATGCCTGCTTTATTTATATGTCTCTTTGCCTTGAATTTATCTGCATTTAAGTAACATTGTGATATCAGGAAAAGTAAGCGTGGCCATTCATGACTTCCTAATTAAGTGAATTTTAAAATTGCTATTGTAAATACATTTTTTTTAAAGATCATGTTCTTTATCTGTGTTAATAGGATTTTTTTCATGGCAATTGACATTAAAATGCAGGTTTCAAATCCAGTTGCTAGCATATTCATCAGTACAGCAAAACAAATTGCATTAACATTTTACAATGCTAATGAGATGGGCTTTCTGCAGTCCTGACTCTTTTCATAAGTGGTTTCTAATGGAATAAAGCTGTGAAATATTGCTCACTCTTTCATGCTGACAAATTCACGAAGAATGGAATTTGACTGTTAAGACTTAAAAAAACAAACAAAACCACACAAAACCCCCCCAAAAAACAACACCCCCCCCCAAAAAAAACCCAACTCCTGATTTTGTGCAAAAGTGTTACTAAAACCAGTAGTTAATTTGTAGCCAAAAATATGGTTTTAATACAGAAACTTATAAAGCTCAGTTCACCTGCATGTCGGGCAGATTTCAGCTGATGTGGGTCAGGGATGCTGCTTTTCACACATCTTTTCCTCCTGGAATGGTTTGGAGTTGTGTTTTCTCCATCCTAGTTGTTGAAGCACAAGGGAAGTCTTCGGCCTGATGGAACCTATCTCTTGTCCCTGTGAAGCTTGCAGGTGTGGTACACCATGCCAGCTCTTTTCTTTCCTTTCTGAAAATATCTCTCTTATGCAACTTGGACATCAGGAATATTGAGTGCCCATCACATAAATTCTCAGAGTTGGACCGCTATGTCATTTTGGCTGTGTCAAGTCTGAAACTATGCACCTGGAAAAGTAGGTTATTTGGTTATCCATGCTCTTCTGAAGCTGGAGCTATGAAGCTTCTTGTAGCTGAGGCATGGGGGTTGTAACCGTTTCAAGACAGGGAGCAAGGAAACTGCATTTCAGGTTAGTTTGGATCATTACATTTTTAAATAGGTTATACTGTAGAAAAAATAATCCTAGGAGAATGAAAGATTATTGGAAGTAATGACACATTCAAGCCATAGTGTTACTCATACCTTCAGCTTCATGCAGCTTCTAAATAATTTTTTGAGACTTTTATAAACTAGGTATTGTACTTGCAGGGCTGTGCAGTGATCTCATCAGAGAAGAAATGATATACTAGAGGGTCTTAAAGCTATCTCTTTAATCCATAAAATAGTCCTTTTTCCTTTACATAGTACAGGCAACCCCTGCTTAATGCTGCTTCATTTAGTGCTATTTCGCTATAACACTTATTTGAAATTGATACCTGATTTCACTTAGTGCTCAGTGAGTTTCATTATAACACTTGCGGTTGCCATCTTGGGTCATCAGATACTTTCGGTTTTGCTTAATGCATGTTTCACTTAATGCTCAGTTTTTCAGGAACCAATTAAGAGTGCTAAGCATGGGTTACCTGTATAAGGGGAAACTAATAATACATATATATGGAAAGCTCTCCCAAACATTGTGAAAATAACATAACTATTTATGGCATAAACCAAATAGGTGCTGGTATAATAACTTTTCCTATGTTTATTTGGGATGATATGCATTAGGGCTGTGTGAAACGGCTATGTTTCGTTGCCATTTCAGATTCGGCCATTTCAGAGGGACAGTGATTCGTTTAGGTGTTTCAGATCACTGTTCTGTTTCAATTTGGCCGAATCTATTTCGGAGTTTCGATGCTGTTACAGTGCTGATTTGGATTGACCTGGGAGAGGCAGGCATAGCCAGGTGGCTGCAGGTTCTCCTGCAGCTCCTCTGGCTGTTCCTGCTTCTTCCCAGGCTGGGGGAGCCGCAGGAGAAGCCCCCATGGCTGCCCTGCCTGGCCCCATCCCCCAACCAGCCCAGCCTTCTGGCACTTAAAACAAAAACAAAAAACCCCCCACACACACTAGCTGCAGCAGCGGCAATCAGGGCTCATGGCGGAGCCCCCACATGCAGCATGGGGCAGTGGAGGGCACCCGCATGGTAGCTTCACCATGGTGTGGGTGCAGTCTGGCTCGGCAGGGTGCTACGTGCTGTCTGGGACCTGAGGTGGCTCCAGCGGTCACCTGGAAGCTGACACTGGTCAGCCCTAGCAGCCCCAGCTCCCAGACAGTGCGCAGCGCCCTGCTGAGCCGTGCTGTGCCCACACCATGGGGCAGCTGCCATGTGGGTGCCGGGGGAGGGGGGCAATCCCCACTGCCCCCCACTGCGCTGTGCGTGGGGGCTCTGCCATGAGCCCTCAGAGGCCCTGATAGCCACTGCTATAGCCGGTGAATGCGGGGCTTTTTGGTTTGTTTTTTTTAAAGTGCCGGGAGGCTAAGCTGGGCAGGGCAGCCATGGGGGCTTCTCCCGCAGCTCCTCCGGCTGTGCCTGCCTCTCCCCGGGTGGGGGGAGCCATGGAAGAAGCCCCCATAGCTGCCCTGCCCGGCCTCAGCCTCCCCGCACTTTAAAAGAAGGGCTACGGGGACTATTCCCAGGGGGACACCTCCGAAACATTCGAAACACCTCCAAAACAAAACAGCTGCCAAGTTTCACACAGCCCTAATATGCATAATCCACTTGTCCTGTTAATAGACTAACCTTTATACAATGATACGCCATATATTGTTGTTATATATTACATTGTTCAGTTTAATTTTTTTTCATGCATTGTGCCAGTTGGAATTGGGGTTCTAGCTACATTCATTCCTGGAAGCCTCTGTGGGTTTGTATGCTGCATTGTCCTTCCTTTTTTGACAATAATGTTGGTATGGTAACTACTCTTTGACAGCCATAGGACTGGGAAATATATGTGACTATTTCACATGAAGATTCATTATGCTTCCATGTCATTGTCTCTCTTGTACATCTTTTTTGTGGGGTTAAAGTATTTCCAAAAAAAGGATGTAGAGCCCCACGTACGTTACACTCCTGACTTAATAACATTGTATACTCACATCATGTTGTGGCACTGTATCATCACAACATGATATGAACACTGCATATCCTGAGGCACAACCTTTGGAGCTCTTCCTCTGCTTCTGTAGGAGGCAGACTTGTGCTCTGCTAAACCCCTGCCTGCTTCAGCTCTTCCCTTTCTTTTTTTTTTCCCCTTTGATTTCCTTTCCCCAGCCTATAATATCCATTGTATATTCTCTGGGGTGTTGGTTGTAGCTGTGTTAGTGTAAGGACGTAGGTAGACAAGGTTCTTTGGATAATTGTGATATCTTTTATTAGACCAACTATGTAATAACTAATGGTGTGCTATTTCGTGGGGATTTTCTTTTTTGTACTGCAACAGTTTTTCATGTGGTATCCAAGTGGCTCTTTCTAAAGCACAATCTCTCTCTGGAGGAGTGTCCTTGTTGGGTGAAAGCCCTTTTGAGATTTGGTGGCATCAGGAAGTTTGGCTGTATGTTACAACTTTCTTGGTGTGTTTAGAGTGATTGCTGGTTCTGTGCAGATATGTATGTTGGTCCATGGGTTTCTTGTATATGGTGGTTTATATTTTATCATTGTGGATATTGATCATAGTGTCTTAAAAGGAAATATTGGTGCTGGAGTATTCAAGAGATGGATGGAAGGGTGATAGTTATTGAATTTTTTATGGAAATCAATCAGAGATTGAAGGTTTTTAGTCTAAAGGATGATGATGTCATCTATATATTTTAGGTATAGCATGGGTTTGATGGTGTAGTTCTTGAGGAACTCTTCTTTCAGGTGGGCCATAAAAAGGTTGGCATATTGTGGAGCCATTTTGGTGCCCATAGCTGTGCCTATGATGTGGAGGAAGTGTTGGTTATTGAAAGTGAAGTTTTGTATGATGATGAAGTGTATAAGTTCAGCAACATGTTTAGGGTTGTACTCTGAGTTGTAATCTTGCTCTTCTAGATATGCAAGGCAGACTTGGATGCTATCCTGGTGTGAGATGTTGGTATATAACAAGTGGAGGCAATGTCTTTTGGCCGGAGTGCCGAAAACCCCCACAATGCCTACCTTGGAAGGTGCCGGAGTGCTGGCATGCCAGAAAAACAAAATGAGGGCAGGGGGTACATGGCAGGATTCCCTGCTGCTGCCCCTGCCCCCCAGCCCGGGCTCTGTGGCTCTCAGCAGCTACCCAGAACCTGGGCCAGCTGCAAATATCTGCTGCCTCTTTGCCCCAGCCCCAGCTGCCTCCCAGACCTGGCCCCAGGCTCTGGGGAGGTAGCACATACCGGCAGTGCCCCCCTTGCCACTTCTGCAAAGCAGCGTTTGGAACCTGGTGTGGCAGGGCACAGCAGGGAGTGCAGAAAGCTGCCTGCTCCCAGCTTCCCACTTCCCTGCCACACTTCCCCTGTGTGCACATGAGCAGCATGGGCAGCATGCAGGGTGGGCTGCAGTGCCCTGCTGTCTGCCCCGAGGTGCACGCGCAGTCACCACCAGCCCAGAGCTGATGCCAGAGCTGTGGAGCCCAGCACAGCTGTTTGCAGTCTGCTCGCTGCAGCTGTCCAGAGCCCAAGCTGGCTACAAACAGTTGTGCTGGGCTCCAGAGCCTGGTTACCGGCTCCACAGCCTGGTCACCAGCTCCATGCTAGGAGCAGGGGAGGGACCGGGCTTGCACTGCCTCAGGCCCCTCCCCCACCACCTGCTCCGAGGTGTGGGTGCACGCGCCTGTACAGAGCTGATGCTGGGGCTCCGGAGGCCAGCACAGGTGTTTGGAGCCTCCCGGCTGCAGCCAGCCCCAGCTCTCTGTAGCTGCTGCCCATCATGGAGCCATGGCTGCTTGCAGCAG